CATTTCTACGCCTTTAACAATACTAAAACTTACGGCCTCTGTACAACTAAAATCTCATAACTTGTCAAGATTTAATAAAAGAAGTTAGGCGAATGAGTGTTTCGGGCGTAGTAACAACAGGTACTAATATTAATTTTGTCCAAATAAACTAAGACAATGAAGGGACGAGCGAATCAACGTCAAGTTGTGTCTTAGGACTACTAATACAACTAAATCAAACAACATCAAGTAAACAATAATAACATAACCCAGAAATGAACTAAAATGCATACGGTGAAAANCATATTCACGCTAAAAATGTGAAAATTCTCGGGGAGGGTCAAAAATCACGTGCTTACACCTGCCACGCTCCAGAATCAACCTCGAGGCCCCGAATTGATAGGCTTGAGGCCCCAATAATTGGCCCAAACGGTTTGATTATCGCCCTATCCTTAACTCTTATTTCGTTTCTAAGTCTCACATGTGTAGCATCGGCTGCTTAACAACTAGCATAAAAGTAGATCACGTATTTTTAGAGTCCCATAAATAAATTTAATTATTATTACCNAGGCTTACTAACCTGAACAGACAGAAACGAATAGAACCAGGGACCAAACCTCTACATCGACTTCAACGGACGGACTCGACGCGTCGGACCTCGACGAACAAAACAACCTCACCGGACTGAAGCAACAGTGAAAGAACTNTTTTCACGGTAAACAGTTTGGAGCCCACCGTGGGGCTAAAAATAATAGTGATTATTTTCTTGCTGATTTCGTCCCACAACGCAAGTTATCTTTCACGCTTTTTCTTGTCCAAGATTTTCAATTTCAGGTCGAAATGTCTAACTCGGTGAATGAAGCTGAAAACAACAATCTTGAGGACCACGGAGAAAACGGTATGGACGTTCCAGGTGTTGGTGTGCCACCACAAAATCCTAGGAATGTGCTAGAACCAATCCCCATAGATGCGGTCTCATGCAACGCCCAACGCATCGATATAAGCTCGCATACTGGCAGGAGCGTACGTTAGGGAGATCCATAAGAAGCTCAGAAAAACCCGACCAGGGAAGAATATGAGGTTAGCCTTCATGTTATTTTTGAAATGTTGCAGGCATAATAGCTAGTTATTGCTCAGCTGCAAAGTCACCAGAAAACTCCCAACACGATAGCACCGGGGACAGCTTCCCCAGCCGAACAGGTACTAGAGAGATCGAGCAATAATGGGTCGATGACCGATCCTGCCATTGTAAAAATGCTCGAGGACCTCACCTGCAGGATCGAATCGGGCGAGAAAACGACAGAAGCCAACGACAAGAAGGTCGAGACCTACAACTCCAGGTTCGACAAAATTCCGGGCGCACCCCCGGTCCTGAAAGGTGTGGATTTGAAAAAGTTCATACAAAGGTCGTTCCTAGAGGAAGCGGCCCCGAAACCTATTCCAAAGAAGTTCAGAATGGTATAACTCCCAAAATATAACAGGACCTCAGACCCCAATGAGCACGTTACTGCTGACACTTGCGGAGTGAAGGGAAACGACATAAAGACGATGAGATCGAGTCCGTCTTACTGAAGAAGTTCGGGGAAACACTCTCGAAGGGGGCCATGAAGTGGTATCACAACCTATTTCCTAACTCCATAGACTCATTTGCCATGCTAGCAGACACCTTCATAAAAGCACATGCCGGTGCCATCAAAGTAGCAACGAGGAAATCCGACGTCTTCAAGATCAAGCAAATGGAGAACGAGATGCTGCGAGAATTAGTATCCCGCTTTCAAACGGAACGAATGGAACTACCACCGGTCTTCGACGACTGGGCAGTGCAGGCTTTCACTCAAGCTCTGAATAAACGAAGCTCGATGGCTTCGAAATAGATGAAAGAGAATCTAGTTGAATATCCAGCCGTGACCTAGTCGGACATCCACAACCGATACCAGTCGAAAATCAGGGTCGAAGATGACCAGATGGGAGCCCCCTCGGGCTCGGTATACCCAAGCAGGCTCTTGGCGAAATAGCCAAAGCCGAACAAAGAAAGATATCAACCACACACCGAAGATAGGAGAAACGCCCTGAGGCGCAACCCACCTCGCAATGATCAAAGGATAGACCGAGGACAGGATCCTCGGGGACTCATCAACAGAGCCAGATTCGATAGGAACGTAGGGCCAATGGGGGCACCTCACTTATCGGAATACAACTTCAACGTCGATATATCGGATATCGTGTTCGCCATCAGTAAAATCAGAGATGCTAGGTGGCCCAGGCCTGTATAATCAGATCCTTCGCACAGGAACCATAACTTAGTGTGCGAATTTCCCAACACACACGGCCACAGGACCGAGGATTTCCATCAACTCCGAGAAGAGGTAGCCCGACTACTTAACAAAGGTCACCCGAGGAGGGGGGGTCCAATTTCTCATCATCGAGGCACCTCAGTAGACCATCTCGAAGTCTTGAGGCTACAAGGTCATGGTCGAGTTTTCCTCTCTCGAGGTTCGTCGAAGCCCGACCCTAGGATAGTGTCGATCACGGCTATGGTATAAATAGGGAGTTCTTAAGGCACATAGATAGGACTGACAGAGCCTAGCGAGCTACTCTAAACCCGCATCAGGGTATCATCTAGTTGTCCCTTCTCCACTTCTTTGTCATTAATGTATTTTGTAATATGTTGGGATTCCCCTCCTATATAAAGGGGATCCTTGTCATTTTGTAAGTCTATGTTGCTTCACTTACTTCACACGAAATATACAAGAACATTCCATTTGGTCTCTAACACATTCTTTAGATATTATTGCTTCTATTTATTATCTTCATATTCGTTCATCATTTATTGCTTATCATTGGCCATAAAGAGCCTCCGTCAATTCTATTATAACTGTTAGTCGTATTCCGACCCCCCTCGACAGCTCCCTGCCAAGCTCCGGAATAGACCTTGAGGCCCCGATAATTGGCCAAACGGTTTGATTATCGCCCTATCCTTAACTCTTATTTCGTTTCTAAGTTTCACATACGTAGCATCGACTGCTTAACAACTAGCATAAAAGTAGATCATGTATTTTTAGAGTGCCATAAACAAATTTAATTGTTATTACCATTTTCATGGTAAACAATAAGTATTTAATTTTAAATTATAGAGGTGTATATCTGCAATAAAATCATATACATGGGTATTTAGTATTGTATCCTAAAGAGGGAATAAAGCCGAAGGAGTAGATGACTGGACGTTGGCTTGCCATTTAGTCAACTGAATTATGTACTCATATCAGAACTACTACAGTTGGTAGCTCTCGAGTGCGTATTATTGCGGTAGGTGTGTTATACAGATGATCTGTTGAATTTTAAAGATCCCCCGGCAATTGACATTCACACTTACAATATATTCTTCTGGCAGGTGAATTAATTGATAAACTAAAAAGAGGCACTGAAAACCCTATTTAAAATATTCAAACCAGAAAAAGTACCCTCATTCCACATAGAAAACAACCAGGAGAAAGATTCAAAGTTAGTTGAAGCTCAGACAAAACTAAATCTCAGTAGTTGCGGGGGTGCAAACCATAGACGATTACACGAGACTAGAAAAAGAAATTCGAGAAGAGAAAAGGACAACAATATTATCAGCTGTTTAAACTTTAAAGATTATGTTGAAAGTGTGGCTACTGTTGCTTTCATCAGAGGGCCTAATAATTTTCTTTCCCCTCTTTCCCCTGCCCTTTGTACAAAGGGGAAACAAAAGTTTAAAATTTTCAAGTTTTTTTTAAGCTAGGCTTTTGCTCCTACATTTTAAAAAATAAGGACTTGGAACATATGTTTTACGAAGACAGGTGTCCAAGAATCTTTTTCCTCAAATTTTCTACTCCCTCCATTTCAATTTATGTAATAAATTTCTTTTATTAGTCCGTTCCAAAAAAAGAATGACATATTTGAGAACAATTCAATTTCAAAAATTTCTTTTTACCTATTTTATCTTTAATGAGAAGCTTTTTATCCACATTAATTGAACGTCTGACAAAAACTTTTACCCTTTAAGATTCTAAAACCACAAATTTTTAAAGTCTTTCTTTTTTTCTTAAATTACGTGTAGATTTAAACTACATCACATAAATTGGAACGGAGAGAGTAATATTTAGAAACTATATACAAAAACAATTTACAACACAAGTAGTTATACAATCCCACCCAGAGGCGGATGCAGTGTGAGAGTTACGGGTTCAATTGAACCAATAACTTTCAACGCGAAGTAAAAATTTATCTGTAAAAATTCATTAAAATTGCAAAAATAATAGATTTGAACCCATAACTTTAAATATATAATGGGTTCAATGTTAAAAATCTTAAAAATTGAAACCATAAAATTTAAATCCTGAATTTGCCTCAGATCCCACCTTGACCTAAAGCTTAATTTTTGAAGATTATACGTTTTGTTTTTAATTCATACCCTTGAGAAACAATAATGAAACTTGTTACAATTTAAAAAGGATGGTAGGACTCACAACCTTATATCTTAGAATATACAAATACAACTCCTTTCTCCCGTTAGAGAATACCAACTTTTTAGCTAGAACTGCTATTTGTTGGGGCTTTTTAAAAGAAGACATTTATAACTTCTACTTATAAAAACCTTTTTTCCGCAACACATCCTTTTGATTTTATCTTTCAAACTATGGAGAAACGTACTCTGCTAGTCGTTTTGGTTGCCACAATCATATCTTTGTCTCAAGGACAAAACCAAGAATCATGGGCCAAGAGAGTAGAAGCAGGCAATGAAGTCGTAACCACTCTTCAATTCTATTTTCACGACATCCTCAGTGGTTCAAATCCTAGCGCAGTCAGGATTGCCCAAGGCACAAGCACTAATAATTCAGGCACCATTTTTGGAGCTTTAATGATGGTCGATGATCCTCTCACAATTGGACCTGACCCCAGATCCAAGATTGTAGGACGAGCCCGTGGCATGTATGGCTTTGCTGGTCAAACTGATCTTGGACTTATTATGGTTTTTAACTATGGTTTCATTGATGGCATTTACCAGGGAGGTTCTTTTAGCCTTTTAAGTATAAATCCAGCGTTGAATCCTGTTCGTGAGATGGCTGTAGTTGGCGGAACTGGTCTTTTCCGACTGGCTCGTGGGTATGCCATTGTGCAAACTTATTCGTTTGATGCTACTACTGGTGATGCTATCGTTGGCTACAATGTTACTCTTGTCACATACATTTGATAGAGTAACAATGAATTTGTCAAGATATTAACTTCTTAATCCCACTTTTCGTTTCTTAAGACATTTTTCTTTTTTGTATTTCTTCCTTTTCGGTGTTGTTTTTGTTAGAGTATAGCATATATGCCTAGATTGAATCTCATGTTTGATTTAAAATGTATTTTTGCGAACAGTATTTGATATAAATATATGGCATTTGATAAATTCTTTCATAATTATTATTAATTCCTTGATTAATCTAATAAAATCCTTAATTATTATGCACTCGTTACCTTGCATATACAACGTCCCCAACAAACAGAACATGTAGCAAATAGACATACATCCTAATTCCATCAAATCAAGGTTAACCACGACACTTACCTCAATTTGGAACCAAATCAACAATCCAACACAACTTCACCTTTAGAACAGGCCTCTAGTCAACTCGAATCTAGTCAAATAACGATCAATCAAGTCAGAATAAATGTTATTATATTATAAAACATGTTCGATCTTTATTATATTTTAAAAAGTCAACAAAAAGGTAATCCGGGCCCACATGGTCAAAATTCAAGAACAAGACCAATTTCCTATTATTCATTCTTTTTCGAGTCCAAATATGTTATTTGTATCAAGATTGGACCTCGATTAGAGGTTCAAATCCCCAAAATTAACCCCCATAAGATTTTTCTCGAAACCCCATTTTCTAAGGTATAAAACACTAGATTTAGGAATGAAATCTATGGGAAAATCATGGGACCAAATGAAATTTAAGTAAAATTCCTAACCTCAGAATTTGGGATGAAAATCCTCTAAACAATCTCCTGATTCCGATATCTAGGTTTAAAAAATAGTGAAAAGTGGCTAAATTACGATTTTCAACCCTTCTTATACCTGGGTTCGGTGTTCTTCGCGTTCATGAAGCATATGTTGCATTTGTGAAGGTCAATGGTCAACAGAACATCGCGTTCACGAAGGCCTCCCCCCGTTCGCGAAGTTTATCGTTCCCCAAGCCTCCACGTTCGCGACACTGATGTCACATTTGCATGAAGAAAAGTCCACCAAAGCCTACGTGTTCGCATATAGACAACTGCGTTCGCGAAGGCTAGATCACCCCAGACCATCGCGTTCAGGAGCTTCCCTTTGTGTGTGTATATATAGTTTTCGCACGATCAAGGAATTGTTAAAATGAGACTCTCTTCATCAAATTTATCTTGAATTCGATCTTTGACATGTAAATAAATTTTAAAACACAAATAATATTATTTTTATCTTCTTTTTTGTGTTATGAATATATATGCAATCCTACAGTAATACCAGAGCTATGGTTTCTTATGTGAAAAATTTATTTTTAAAATCTTTTAAGATTGTATTTGAAGAGTTCGAACCATAATACTTATAGATGAGCTAAATTATTTTGAAGTTTATGGATTAATATTATTTTATTGTGAATAAAATATTTATACATACAAGTTAGACCAATGAAAGAGTTCGTAACTTGAAGTTGGAGTTATGTAATAGATGTCACGTTATTTGTTACATCTCGTAACTTTGCACGTCGAGTTGTGCCATAAGTATTCGATATAAGCTTAAAGAGCAAGATTATCCTTGAGATTATAAGTATTCATACCATGCTTAACAAGTACTAAGTACATGTTGGAAGAGATTAGAAGTCGAGTAATTTAGAAAGTTAATGAGGATTGGTTATGATGTTAAAATAACATATACTAGCATGTAAATATGCATAATAACATGATTAGCATAATATAGGTCCTATAATTACTAAAGAAATGTTGAGGTGCTTATTTGTATATATGCATTCCTTGTAAAAGATCTATTGCCAAGTAAAAATTAATGTTGCCTCTTCAACCGTCCAAGGCCCCTTAGTCATTACACATTGATATATATCAAATCTTCAAAGTGAAGGAGGTCATTTAAGAGCTATTGCACGTTATAAAATTCATATAAGCACCATCTCAATCAATGAGAATCTCTTTACAATTGCACCATACGGACAACCGTCTTTAAGGCAATTATCTTGCAATTTTAGTCTTGGTTTGGGGGGTTTTGGTTGTAAAGGTGTTGGGAAGGCTTCTCTCCGTTTCATCCTATTCCTTTTCTTCAAGTAATTAAGGTAGGAATTCAGCATTCTTTCTAGATCAGTTCATCTTTAACTTAGTGAAATTTCACTTTAAGTTCTTCTTGACGGAGAAATAAAAGTTCTTGTAGTGTATTTGAGGAGGTTTTGGTTGTGTTTAACGGATGGAAATATAGTTATAAATGTGTATATATATATTTTTGTTCTTGTTGTTCAAGGTGATATCCTTCTCTTCTCCATGTATTTGAGGTCATTTGGATCATAGTTTGGTTGTTGATGAAGAACTTGTGAAGTATAGGTTGAAAGTCATAATTAAAAATTTCTAGTTTGTGGGAGCGGATTAATGTGTTATTGAAGGAGTTTTGTTGTATATATCTAGCTAGTTGATGTTGTGGTTATGTGGTTGTTGCTGTGTTAAATGAATATGAATTAAGGAAGAGTGCAAGAATATCGTATACAAGCATAGATCAGACTGTTTTGGTGTATACTCATGCATATTGATGGATTGAGTTGAGAAAGAAATTAATTGAAGTCCTTATTGCTGTTTTGGTTACTGATTGTGGGGTAGTTAAGAGAAAGTAATGAAAATGATTCCCGTTTTATTTTAGAATCGACTTATCATTTGAAATATGTAATATACTTGCACCATCTAAGTTGTACATGTATTTATCCGTTACAGGGTTGACGCGCTAGTTGTCATAAACTCGTTATTGAGTTGTATTGATGACTTGAGATATGTTAAGGCTATAATTTCTTTCCTTTTGGCATGATTCATATGATACAATAAAACGAGCAAACACGCAACTTTCACAAATGACTTTATTCTTAGAAGTACTAGGGTTGCCTATGATCTTGATTTCCCATATGTCTTATTATTATATCGTCTGTTCATGGGTCTTAGAAAATACGTAAGTTGATAAAATTTATTTCTTGATTTTAACTGAAGGCATATTGATTGTATGGCATCCCGAGATGTCTTATTGACTTACTTCATTATACATTGCATTTGTTTATACATGTACATTGACCCATGACCATATGGCATTATATATATATTACGACGTTATATATGCACCACCACATGATCAGTTGGTATAGATTGATAATTTCGCCCACCGAGGCAGAGATGATATGATGGGATACCCTAAGAGATTTGATAATGTTATGTACGCATATACATATGCATGATATGGTATTTATATGCATATCTATGTTTCTTTCATGTCTTTTATATATTGATTTTCATGTCTTACATACTCGGTACATTATTCGTATTGACGCCCCTATTGCCTTTTGATGTGATGACCCAAAAGATTATCTTGTGTTTTAGAACCCAATTCGGTATTCCGAGGCCTTCAAAATCTCATTGTATTTCTCCTCGATTTACGTGCGCAATCCGAAAGCATTTTCGGAAAAGACTTTATGTGGAAATTTGAGAAAAATAATAATTTTTACCTTTTAAAGTTAATTTTGGTTGACTTCGGTCAACGTTTTGAGTAAACGGACCCGGACCCGTATTTTGACGATCTCTGTGGGTTCATAGTAAAATATGAGACCTGGACGTATGCCCGAAATCGGATTCGGAGGTCCCTAGCCCGAGTAATGAATTTTTGTTACAAATTATAAATCTGAAAAACTAATGGTTTAAAGGAGTTGATTAATGTTTGATCTTGCTGGTATCGGGCTCGTATCTTGATTTCGGAGCCGATACAGGTTTAATATAATATTTAAGTCATGTCTGTGAAATTTAGTAAAAAACGGAGTTTGTTTGACGTGATTCGGACGTCCGGTTATTAATATAGTAATTTCAAAGTGTTCTTGAGAATTTTATGTGATTTGGTGCTAAATTCGTAGTTCTACATGTTAAATTGGTGATTTGATCACACGAGCAAGTTCTTATGATATTATAAGACACATGCATATTTGATTTAGAGCCGCGAGGGCTCGGGTGAGTTTCTGATAGGCTACGGGGTGTTTTGGAACATAGGAAATTTTGCTGGTATGACTGAACTTGTTGCAGACCTCTGATCTTGCATTTGCGAGATCAGGTATCGCAATTGCGAACTGTCGCACCCTCTTTTTCCTTTTCGGAGTCCGGATTTCGACATTCATTGGGAACAACTCGTTTCCTTTTGGGAATTGGGTATTTGAAGAGTTGCCACCGGACGGATTAAGGTGCGTCAGGGCACATAGAGCAATTAACTCATGTAACCAGTTTGCATTACCAGATATGAGGGTAAGCACTCGAAATAACCTTGAGGGAAAGGTGTTAGTCACCCCTCACGGTCCACAATGGTGAGTCCCGACCGAACTTAGTTATGTGAATAAATCATTTAACAGGCAAGCAGTCTAAGCACACATTTGCAAATAAAAGAATTTTATGCAGTTTAAGCACGCATATGTATCAAGAAAGTTTAGACGGTCCAAGCACGCATATGTAAAATCAAGAAGTTTAGACAGTCTAAGCACACATACTTAAGTTAAGGAAGTTTGAATAGTCTAAGCATACTTACATAAATTAAGGAAGTTTGAACAGTCCAAGTGTATATACATAAATTAAGGAAGTTTGAACAGTCCAAGTGTATATACATAAATTAAGGAAGGGAAGTCCTAAATTGGTTAGCCTATAGGATCATATCTGTATAATACCCGGTAAGCCTTCCTCAACTAGCTAGAGGGGTTACACGTGGCATTAGCGCACATGTCATTATATCCTTTTACTACCCATTACCCTCCCTTAGTGGTTATGTAAACGAGTTTAATTAATGAACTCTAAGTGTACTTTACCCGTTCCTTCCTTGTGGTCCCTAAGGTGTTTAGGAGCTCTATACTTAGGCAGTTCTAGACACTCCTAAGGTATTTAAAAGGTAAAATCTAAGCGACAACAAAGAACACATAGGACTGTCAAATAGGGAAGCAATTAGGGGCTCATGTTTTACCTCCACACATAAACAGATACGTAGCACATCTCAAACAACTGATTTTAAAGAAATTCAGAAAGACCTAGAACATGATATCTAGATGAACATCACAAACACAAAATATGCAACATTTGTTTAAAAAGGAAGTGGTAGAACCCTA